CCACAACATTAGTAACAAAGAAACAGAATTTCCAGAGGATGAGGCCCAGAAATCAGGATTTTAAAAAGATTCCCAGGTGATTCTAACGTGCAGCCAAGGTTGAGAACCACTGCCTTAATGGATGGCGTCAATAAAGAAAGCTTAATTATCTAAGTTAATTTGGAACACTTGAGATAGACAACAAATGAGGATCTAAAACCACCAAAATAAAATAGGACAGCAAGAAAGGAGGAAGGGTTTGAAACAGCCACTTCTGGCCTTTTGGGTTAAAACCATGACCTAGTGAATATAGATTTTTTTAAAGCACTGCTCCTTTCACACACACTCACCAAGGTGCTGAGTCAAACCGATGACTGTTCTTGTGAGGACCTACTATTCCACATCGGCACTTAAGCTTTCCTCCCACAGAAAGCAACAAACAAGGGGAAAACAGCATGTGTGACAAAGCATACCAATAGCTATGAGGTATCTTAGGCACATTTTCAGGCCAGTATTGGAGAATGGAAAGAATAACCAACTGGAAGTCAAAATACCGGGTTTCCAGTCTTGATTTTGTGACCTTGGACAAGATGCTAACCTTCTCCAGCAGCACTTTCCTCGGCCTTCAGAGCCATTACGTCTCTTCTAGCTCTAACATTCTAACCTATCAGCCCCGCTTAACCCACGAGGGCACTGGAAGAAACAGTAAGACCAAGTACCAGATTTGTTTGAATTTGGAAACTGAGTATCATGAGAAGTAAAATGCAATTCAAGAAGCAAGGCCCAGCTCTTTCTGTAACTGAAGTGCAGCCCGGTCTCTCATCTTCCCTCCCCCCATTGACCAATCTGCTCCCACACACCTGTCACCTGGTCCACAGAAGCCTGCTTGTCGTGCTGGACATGAGGGGTGAAGAGCCGAACAGTGTTGTAGAGGTGACTTCTGTTGGATTTAGGGATCCCCTCCTTGGTAGCATAGGCCTTATAGAGCCTCTTCATGTAGCGCAAAGCTCTGGAGTCTGGCTGCAGCCTAGGGACCCCACCTTGCCCATCACACAGAACCTTGAGGAGAGGGGAAAGGAGGCCAGATCTGTCCCTCCCATCTGGAGGCTGCAGCAAGGCCCAAGGCTCGGCCTCAGGTTCCAATTCAGCACTGGCTGCAATCTGAGCCTCTCCCCGAGAAGCCAGAGAACCAAGGCTACTAGGATAACACAGCCAGGAAAGGCAGCCAAACCATAAAAAGAACGTGCTGGGAAGCGCCATGGCTTGGAAGAACTAGCAAGGAACCCAGCCATACCAGTCTTCTTCCTAAAAGCCAGGAAGAACCTAGGTTGATCTCTTAAATAAATTTTAGGTGTGTGGGCGGGTAGGGTCACTTCTGTAATCAGACCTCAAGGATGCCTAGCTGAAGATAATTTTTATCAGCTGTATGTCAAACAGCTGATAACATCCTACTTTATCCTCATTAGACACGGATTTGTTTTGTGTGTTTTTTGCTTTCCTCTTCCTTTCTTCTGGCATTTATTTTAAAACCTCTTAAGTTATTGTTATACGAACGCACCAGCTATGTAGCTGAAAGGCTAAGAGAAATTGAGAAATGATCTTAAAAGAACCCATTTTTTTTTAGAGCAATTCGGGTTCTTAAAATGTTCCTTAGGTGCTTGCTGAAACTTCCAAGGCACGTGGAAAAACTAACTAATTATTCATGATGATACAAAGATCTGTTGATATGCAATTTATGGTATTAGTTTACTCTTCCAGTCTCTTCATCCTCACCGCCTCTCCCACTTTCAGGTGCTTAGGATAATTATTTATCACATGTTGATTTGGAGGGTGAGAGAAAGTCCCATTCGGTATTGAAATTCTAGAGAGCAGAGAACTGTTAGGTTGCTCACATCTTCCAGGTAGCTTCCATAGGATATGTACTTGGAATACAGCAACATGCTTAAAAAAGGAGGTCGTCACCTTTAACCTTGACTCATTTTTAGATATGTCCTGATGTCTTTGCTCTGTCTGCACATTCATTGGTACATATTTTGGTTGAAAGGTTTAGAAATGTTTGCAGGTGCTAGAAAATACATGGAAGTTTTATGTACTTACTGTTTCATTCATCACTCAAATGGTGGTAGAATTTCCTAGGCCCTAGGGTATTATGGTTCTTAACTGTTATGTTCTTGCCTTGGAGCTGAGACCAGGCTAGAGGTCATGTTTTGGGAAAATGAGACAAAAGTGCGCCAGGAATAGCCGAAATGAGGGGCTATCCAGTGCCACCCCTAAGGAGACTCTGTGCTGCCCAAAAGGCAAACAGCCCTAACCGGTTTGGCTCAGAGCATCGGCCTTTGGACTGAAAGGTCTCAGGTTCGATTCCGGTCAAGGGCATGTACCTTGGTTGCGGGCACATCCCCAGTAGGGGGTGTGCAGGAGGCAGCTGATCGATGTTTCTAACTCTCTACCCTCTCCCTTCCTCTCTGTAAAAAATGAATAAAATATATTTTTTTAAAAAGGCAAACACACTCCTGGTACAAGATACAAAACCAGTCCGTGCAGTACTCAGGATGATAACACGGAGGTGTGTTTGCAAATGTAAGTTCCTTGCCTGCCAAGCCTCCCTAGCGTGTGGCTAGGAAGCAGGGTTATAAAACGCACCCAAACTGTTGAACGAGGCCTTGGTCTATATATTGACCACATGGCCAGCAATCCCAAGAACAGAACATCTGCAGACACCGCAGCCAGGAGAAGCCAGACGGCTGCACAGGGCAGCGGCATCCGCCAGTAGAAAGCACCTTCCAAACACACGGCAACGCCTCTCAGCCAACGTCCCTCGCCTCTCCTCCAGGAAAGCGGAGGGGAGGATGTGGGCATCACGATCTCCCCGACGCCCTACCCCCGCCAGACCTTCTCGGGGAGGAGGAAGCGGGGGGGCGGGGGGGGGGGGGGGAGGCTGTGCTGGATGCCCTAGGGGTGGCCCCCTCCTTCCCTCTTACCACCACTTAACAGCCCTTGATCAATTGCTTGACAACTATTGGGGGCTCTGTGGCTGCATCTCCGGAATGTTTTTATTCTAACCCAGGAAAGTCTACATCCTGCCAGCAGATTCTCAGGCGGCGGTGGCCGAGAGGAGCCGGGATCTGAGTCCCGGGTTTGGTGCTGGGGCCGAGCCGGTGTCAGCTGCGGCCCCAGGCGGTGTGGGGCCGCGTTCGCAGCCGCGCGGGCACAACCGCCCTCGGGGCGCTCTCCACGTGAGGGGGCCGGGCGGGTCTGGGGGCGGCGGGGCGCCCTCAGGTTTCCTCCCTTTTCTCGCCCCCTCTGGTTTCCCCCGGG